TTTAAATTGTGTAATTTACAGTAAAGTCCTATCTTTATATAAAGTAATAAAACAAATAGAAAGATTTTTTTAATTTTAGTTAGTCTGAACTTATAAAAAATACGCCATGTATGACTTTATTAGACTTGGACTTTCTAATGATAAACATTAAAAAAATCGGATAGACCGGGACTTTCTAAAAACAGATCTCTATACATCAACTCCAATTTGTTATTGTGACGTCATAATTGGTATGACGTAACAATGCCTCGAGTATGGATCTACTCTATATTGAAACACATAGATCTTTAATTTATAAAGCATAAAAATCGATTAAAATAAATAAATAAATTAATTTAAAAAAAAACAAACAAATTTAGCATTTTTATTTGATAGTTCCAGAATATTATTCCCTCAGTATAAAAGGAAATCAAACGAAGTCATTTGAAAACAGCTGACATGAATTGTCTGTCTTGTCTAGAACCTTGTTCCCATTGTTTTGACTAAAAATTCAATACCTTTAGAAAATAATAGTATAGCAAATGTAGCCCTTTCAAACGTCAATCCATAGATATATAAACTTCACAGACAAGCATATCGACCTCGCACTTCGTGCTCGGTCGATATGCTTTTCTGTGAAGTCTATATATCTAAAGATCGACCTCATGAAAGGGTGAAACCGGAGGGGGACTATAGGTTTCCTCCTCGTCTGTCCGTCCGTCTGTCCCTCCGTCTATCTGTCATTCTGTCCCACTTGGTTTTCCGCACTTTTTTTTCTAAACGCTTGCAGATATTGAGCTGATTTTTGGTATGTGAGTGTATCTTGATAAGATACAGATCAGGTTTGGGTTTCGTTCCGCTTCAATGGTTTTTAAGGGAAGTACAACTTTATATTAATTTTAAGGGTTTTCTTTAAACCTTTTCTCTAGATGCTTGCAGATAAATATTGGACTGATTTTTGGTATGTGAGTCTACCTTCACTGTCCTTGATGAGTTATACATGTAGATCAAGTTTACATTATATGTTTCGCTTCAATGATTTTTTGATGGAATTTAAAGCATTTTCACTTTCAATGGGAACCAGATTACACTTGCCGGTAGGGGACTAGTATTGCTAATGCAATACTCTCAGAATGCTTGTTGTATAAAATTTGGATCTACTCTAAGTTCTACTCTACATTGTTAACGTAGACGTTTAATATATCAAGCATAAATTGATACAAAAATCATAAAACAAATATAGTATTTTTATTATATACATTCTCGAAATTATTCCTTTAGTATAAAGGTAACACAATGACATCAAAACAGGTTACTTTATTTAGATGTTTAGAAACTGGTAATCTCATGCACACTGGTATAACAACTAGTGATTTTTACTTTTTGACATTAGAAAAAAAGGGGGTGCTCGTTGTCACAACACATGTTGAGTTCGCGCTAGCATTAAGAAATTATATATGACAGATTTCAACACAGAACAGATTATATATCTGTGCAGTAAAGTATTTATATAGTCTAACATCACTTCTCTAATTTTATATAAACTTTAGAGAATATCATTTACAATAAATAATTCCGATATCAGAGTGTTTTCAGTGATTATCTATAGAGTACACTGAAGCAAAGCAGAGTTTTTTCAGATGAGTATACTGCCAAATAAAGTAAAATAACACTGTACACTCCATATATTCTCTTCACAAGAAAAGTATATAACCCTATATGGATGCTATTTTGCATTGTATATATTAAATAATTTTTGAATCTCTATTTATTTTTCCTGTCCATGGATATCTTAAGCAAAAATGACCTTTACAGATGCAATTTAATCTCAAGACCTCTATACTCGTGTGGTAAAATACAAGATACGTATCATTACTATTTTATATGTCCAAAATATATATAAAGAGAAAAAAAATATTTTGATAATTTTTTTACTGTTTTGATAAAATTCAATTTTAGATACAAATATTATATTATGGAAGATAGATTCATTCAACAAGTGCTGCAAAGAATGAATGTTTTGTTGTTGTTTTTTTCCTATTGCTCATTTATCAAACATTCTGGCAGATACACATGTTAGTTTTAGTATTAATCAGATATATGACTATACAAAATTATATGTATATTTCTTTAAAATGCATTGATTTGTAAATTCTGCAAATATTGTATACTTTAAATTTGCAAATTGACTTAATAATGTAAACTTGTAATTTCTATTTAGGGAGAGGGAGTAATATAACTTTTTAGAACTTGTGCCCAATCCTTTTGTTATTAAAAATTACAATAAATTATATTGAAACCAATCAATTTTACAGTTTTATTGAGAGGTTAATCTTGGTTTAAGGATGTTATTGACAATGTCAATGAGTGACATCAGCAACAAAAACCACAGAAACGAAGTTAAAACATTAATACAGTCCGTGGCCAGGTGTTATAAAGTACAGTAATAGGTTTGATTAAGATAATATATGCATTCCTCTTACATAACAGTACTGTGATAATCATCGTAAAGACGAATGTTAAGCTTCAACTGCAGAATAAAAATAAATTTTAAAATTCATTAGAAAGTTTGAAGATATGAACGAGTTCCGAGTAGAAAAAACCTAGCAACACCTAGTAAAAAACTTCTTGGGATGCCTTACAGAGAATTAAGATAAAAAAAATTGCTCTTATCACAACATGTCCTTAAACACCTGTCAATACTAAGTCCTTTAGCAAACAGATTTGTAATTAAAATCATGTTATACCACTTAACAGCCCAGTTCAATCTACCTTACACAAACACTTCATAGTGAAAATTGATTCTTAATCTATCACATGTGTTTTTGGCAATTTCACTGTATATTTCACACAGACATGTTGATTTCTTGTGCCATTTTCTTATCAGTTTACAATCTGTTTCTTAATTAAATACATATTTCTTTCACTTTAAATTGACAATCAATTAATAGTTTCTTTTTATCATGTTGTCAGGATAAACTCTTTCATTGGGCTATCCAGATTTTCTAGTGAGAAACTAATAGAAATTAATTATCCATTTCTTGATAAATATGACTCCTGCATGTGTTTCATATTATAAGATTCATGAATTCACACAGTGTAAATTTGTTCAACTGTGTTTACAAGAAAAAACAATTAAAATAAAAAAGAATTTACAGAAAAGGTAGATTTTTTTTTTTGCACAGCAATAAATCACCAAATTTACATAACAATGCTGTGTAATAGTTATGAATTGCCTCATTTCCATAAAAAATACCCACTCCTTAATCCATTCATTTCAGTGAATAGAATAAGTAAGTAGTAAATATTCAGTTTATAACAATCAAATATAAAAATAGTTATTCCTTAACCGATGCACTAAACAGGTGCAGTATGCTAATACAAAATGATGTTCAAGATGAATTAATTGTTAATATATTTATAGTCTAAAATTAAACGAATATCTAAATGCATGTATTGCGTTGAAAAAAAAAATCTTAGAAATATTCATCAAAAGCCTGAATGCTAGACCTGTTTTTAACCACAAGTCAAGAATTCTAATATTTTCATTGTTTTTGCTCTTATCGTGTTTTATTTGTTTGTTTGTTTGATTTTGGGGTGGGATGGGGGTGATATGTTTGTACTTTTCAAAGTATCATCATAATATTTTTTCTATTGCGCAAAATTTCATTGATTTGGTATTTTACAAATTCCAGCATTTTTTTTTCTGACAAATCAAATGAGATGGAACTTTTTTAAGTTGTAAGAACTTTTGTTTGAACCCACATATATATAAAACACAATATTTTCAAATCAATAGAAATAATTATAATTAAAGAGATTGAAATGAAATCATTTAAAAAGAACAGAAAGCTTAATTAATTTGATTCTTAACTAACATGTACATGTCTCGAAGAACAAAAAAAGTAGAAGAAATTAGATCATGCATTAAATTAAAGTCAGCGATGTTCAAATTAATTTTATAAAATTATTGACATAATCAATCTTATTATACAAAAAGTATAATCCTATGAACTTTCTGAATTTAGGATAAAGCTCGTACAGCTCGTACAGTTTACTATGTTCATGTTATTTTATCATTCTATTTTTAATATATTTCCAATGGTCCTGCCATTGTGTACACACCCTAATTATAAAACTGACAGTATCACATGTTTTTTTTTTAAATAAACTAAATATATAGATATCTATTACATGTTCTAAGTTTGATCCCTCAATTAAGGGATAAATGCTATGTTTGATTATATATACCTAAATATTATATCAATAAGAGAGAAAGAAAAATCACAGCGTAAGTACATAATGAAAAACGGTATTCATAAAGTATAAATTCATAGAAACAAAAACACCATGGGAAAAATGTCCTAAAAAAAAACAACAAAAAAAAAAACCCCACCCATCCATCTATATATATATATATATATATATATATATATATATATATATATATATATATATATAACATATATACCAGACTAAAGTATTGCTTGATACTCTAGCTGCGTTGATTGGCATAAGGGGCATAACTCTTTTAATGTAAAATAATAATAAAAAAAAAGCTAGATAATTTTAAAAGAAAATAAAACAAAATTGACAAACAATTTATGCAATTATAAGCAAATGTAAAAACGCTTTATATAGATTCGAGATCAGTGGCGGATCCAGAAATATTAGAACGGGGGTGGGGTGTCAAGGATCAAAATCATTAATTCAAACTTACAAAAAAAAAATTGCTTATGAATTGTGTAGGCCTACCTTTTCAAAAGAAAATCAAACAACACCTGAAAAAACTGATGGCCATTTTTTAACAAGATACAAAAGTCTGCTGTTCAGAAATCTTAGGAGAGACAACTCTAATTAAAACATCATCCTACAGTACTGATCATGTCCTCAACACCTCCAGAATAGTATATGCAATAGAGTTGTTATCATTGTGCTGGGTAAACAATGATGATTTCCTTATATTGTTTTTTTTTTTTTCAAACAGGAAGAAAAGGTGTACAAGCCTGGTCCTGATGTGTTTATTTCTTTCCTGTATGTAATCTGTAGATCAGCACCCGTGTAAAGTTTGTCCCAGTAAGGACTACCAGATACTGGGATTTGGCGGAGAAGTTCATCTGTTGGACTTCAGCATCTACCCGTGTACTGAAGACCTCCTTACCCGAGGAGACGTCCCAGAGCTTGATAGTGTTGTTCTGACAGGCAGATGCTACCCACTGACAGTCCGGGGAGAATGCAACCTTTATCACCTAGGAAAGCAGGTAAGATCAAAATATACCAAGTTATACTCAAACAGCTAAGTTTATAAATACTGTTTAAGTGTCTTTTTTGTAAAGTTAATGCATTCTTCGCTCAAGTGCTGTGGTGTTTGTACAATAAAACACGGTTACAGAGAACATGCTTAATATGAATACATGCATGCTTACAGCAAAGTGATTTTCATTCCAGGGATGGTTGTTTTAAAAAATATATATATATATATATATATATATATATATATATATATATATATATATATATATATATATTGTGAACTTATTGGATATAACAAATTACGCTTATAACGAATCAAAATGGATCATCCCCTGACACTTCATATACTCATGTTGTATGTATACATATACAAGAAAATGCCAATGTAAAGGTATAGTATATACCTAACCATCTCTACAGATTGATATGTACTTTATATATCTGGAGTATTCCGCTGGGTGATAAATTTTGCTGATATTACTTAACTAGAATGAAAAGGTATTTCAATCAAATAACACAGTGTTTAAACTTTTGTTGAACGTATATAACTTTGGTTTTCAAATTCTGCAATCATTATTATTTATTTAATTTATTTATTTATGCTGTCTTGAATCTTCTGCCAAAATTAACATTCTGTCAAAATAACCCACTTTAAAGCATACTTTGATAGTAGTGCTGTAATATACTAACTGAGGCAGAGTGTTTAGTGGACGGTAGTTTCTCTCCAATGGGATACCCTGAGTCTATGCTGTAGATACACAAGTAGCCATCTTCCGAACCCAATGCCAGGAACTTGCCATCTTTGCTCCGAACCATCGCTTTTGTGGTTCCTTTACAATCTTCAGGGTTGTTGAACCAAGACGGCCTGTACATCATGAAATATTTCTTGTTCTTGCAAGTCCTTTGATTACACGTACCTGAATCAACTATATTATAAAAAAAATTTCAGGTCAGAAAAAAAAAAAACAAATAAAAAAAAATCATTTAAGTTTTTTTTTTCTGTTTAATATTTTATTTTGATATATCATATCAGTCATATAAATCTTTCTTAAGGGTAATAAATAGGATAAAATCTTTATAACTATACCTGATATATCAGCGTTAATTTCGAGAAAACTGAATTAAAATGTTATTTTAATAATTTAAAAAAAAATATTTGTAACAAAGAAAGACTATGATGATTCAACAATATTGTTTAAACATTTCGCAATAATGTTTTCAGACTTCCAACTAAAATTTAACCTCATTTACCTTTGGAAATATTCCAGAAAACGACAGATCTCATAGTGGTTATAATCATTTCGTTTTCCACATTGGCACATATTTCTTCCCCAAGAGTTGGTACGTTAGTAAAGTCAGCGATGCAGGTATTTAGCGCCTCGTAATGAAGAGTTTTAAGATGTGGCTCACCATTTACAAAATCCGTTGTCATCCAACTAGAACAAAACATTTTAAAAATAATTTTTTGCTTTTTTTAAATGTTTTAAAATATTTTAAAACATATAATGAGAACATTTTACTCGAATGTTACGAAGATTGAAAATTGAACTCTAGGCTAATATGCACAAAGCACACGATTCTGTTCTACTTCTCAGAAGTCATATTAAAAAAATACATCCCCTGAATATATTAACACTAAATAAGTTTTCCTTCTCATATGAAATTTTGTAGAAAAATGGATAAAAAGGATTACCATACATGTTTAAATTATTTGTAACAGTTTTTTTTTTCAGTTTTCATTTTGAACCAGTTATACCGATCCACAATCATTAGATTACGCTGAGCTTTGGACTCTAGAACAGGTTAGAGACATAGGCACTTGGTTTCAGGATGGTGTATTTTGTGTATTGTGTGTTTTCCTATGTCCCTCTAAATACACTCATTAAAATAAAAATCAAAAATCGCTGAAATTTGCATTCTTAAAAAAACTTAATATATTTCTGTATATAAAAAGACACGTGTTCTGTTCATTGTTTTTCTTTAATGCGACACAGTGACGCAAAAAGGGGGGGGGGATTGACAAGAAAATTTTTGTACGACACACGCACATTTTGTTCAATTCTTGAACGTATTAGGTTTTAGAAAATTACAGATTTCGTTCGTTTGTTTGTCGTTTAACGTCCCTCTCGAGAATTTTTTCACGCATATGGAGACGCCACCACTTGCCGGTGGAGGGCTACAAATTTTGACCTATACTCGGCACTCAGTGCCATTGAACAGTGAGGGATCTTTTTCGTGCCAGCACCTACTGCGACACGGGACCTCGTTTATACGGTCTCATCAGAAGGACCGGTCTCCACGTCCCGCAGTGGGATTCGAACCCGCAACGTAAGGATCAACTCCTTAATCGTGACTAGCAGACGCTCTAAACACTGCGCCACGCGGGCGACTACAGATTTCGTAACATAAAAAATTTAATATAAAAATTCCATTTTATGGAGAAAAAAAAATTTTGTCTGCCCAAGACAAAAATATTGCTTCACTTCTTCCTCCTCATTGCGCAGAAAAGTTGAACAAGTTACCATGGTCTCAAGTCCCAAGAAATGAATGTCGGTAGACTTAGGACTTTGAAACAGTCTTCAAAAAAGATTATCAGAACGTGTTCTTCACCTTTGAATGCTCCATTTCAATGTTGTTTACAAGTTTTACGCTACAAATAAAAATCGCGTGAACTAGACAAGGACGCTAACAACGATACGGTACCTTTGTTTTTCCGCCACTCATATTTTGCAGTCTTTCTTGCTTTACAGTTCCGTTGAGTTTGTCAAAACTTCTCTATAATTTTCATAAATTTTTCCCTTTTGATACGAATATCAAACTTTAAATGTTTGAAATATTGAGCTCCCTATATAGAGTACATTCTTTACTTTGATTTTTTTTAAAAATATCACAATAATATCAACATATATGTTAGGATGATTCATTTAAGACAATGTCTTTAATTTGTCGAAATTTTGTGACATTCAGCCTTATAACCTTAAGTGTAATCAAAACGGAATAAGTTTTACTTTTTTAAAAAATATAATGAAACCTTACGAAAATGCATGCTTCAAATCCACAGCCATAAACTTATAGAGGTTAACCTGGTCAAGTTGAACACCCTTCTTCTTCCAAGATGCTTCAATTGCTTTGTACTCAGATGGGAGAATCTTGCTGCGTACACACAGGTATCTTTCACTGGCACTCAGACACAAATGAAGAGTTTCAAACTTCAGAGGACCTTTGTAAATCATACTAAAATATACACAATTAACTATTATTTCATAATATCATGACATCACAATGTTTGTTAGATGTACCGAAGTACAGAAGACTAAAAATGTTCCAGCTTTTTTACTTCAGAAATGTATTCAGTTCATGTGTACATGAACTATGATGTTTCACGTCGACATACTTATGAAGCGCACTAGAGTTTCTTGACAAATAAGCTGGTGTTCAGATAAAATGTAGGAATTTTCAAAAATAAAAATCATTTGTTGACTATGTTGTGATTATTGAACAGAAATTAGTGGTCGTTTGTTGTTTGTTTATTGTTTAACGTCCCTCTCGAGAATATTCACTAATATGGAGACGCCACCACTTGCCGGTGGAGAGCTACAAATTTTGACCTATACTTGGCACTCAGGGCCATTGAGCAGTGAGGGATTTTTTTCGTGCCAGTACCTACTGCGACACGGGACCTCGGTTTATACTGTCTCATCTGAAGGACCGGTCTCCACGTCCCACAGTGGGATTGAAACCGCGACGTAAGGATCAACTCCTTATTCCGAGACTCTCGAGCGAACGCTCTAACCACTGCGCCATGCGGGCGACCAATTAGTGGTCGTTAGAATCGGTTGATCATCAATTTTTATCAGCTGATAAAGTAATGTTTTTTGTTGTTATACTACGCATGGTACGTGACAAATGATCCATGATTGTAATTAAAAAGGCGAAGATAACGAACAGAGTTCGATTTAAGAAAAAACAACCTACAAACAATACAAATCTGTGAACAGGGCTGGACCCCTGAAAATTGCAGAAGTGGGATCAGGTGCCCAGGAGGAGTAAGACTCCCCTGTCAACTAGTAACACCCGCCGTGATCAGGTAGACAGAATAATCTGTATTCCAACAGATTGTTGGAAGACCTAGTCTCCAAAGATAACATAGTTGTTGTTAATGAGGAAATCCAGCATCTTTTAATATCAATCCCAGAGTACTTAGGTATAGAATCAGTGTTTTTTAACAAAGTAATTTTGCAGATGACAAGTCACAAAATAAGAAAATTTCTAAGGTACATTTTTATTGAAGAAGCAGTTGTCTATGATACCAAAAAGCTTTTAATTTATCGCGAGGAACGGTATAAATTGTAGAGTTGTATAAATTGTAGAAAAGGCACATTTTGATGTTATTACTTTTTGAAAAAAAATGGTGATTTTAAATTTTCTAAAAGTTCTTTGGAGTTTTTAAGAATCCACATTTGATTAACACAACTTCTCGAATATGCTGTAGCACAGTACGTCTGAAGCTTTTCCTTAACAGCAGTAAATATTTTTGTGAGGAGTAATGATAGGGGCTTGATAGAGCAGTTAGTGGACCCGATAATGTATCTTTTTAAGGATTTTAAGGTGTTTGCTCTAGAGTCGCGGGATAAGGAGTTGATCCTTACGTCGCGGGTTCGATTTTCACTGCGGGACGTGGACACCGGTCCTTCGGATGAGACAGTATATGCCGAGGTCCCATGTCGCAATAGATTCTGGCACGAAAAAGATCCCTTACTGTTCAAAGGCCTTAAGTCCTAGTACAGGACTTGAAGTTAGTGAAGGATTTATCAACTAATAAATTCGTCTTTGCAAAGGAACAGGACATACTAGTATCCGATTCATAATAGTGAAGTACTTTTAAAACAGCTTTAAAAATCGCATTACTGAAAAAGGAATAACCATGGATTGGAAATTCATCCAAAAGGGAGTACCTTTGCAAGAAGATGTCGAGAGTAAAGAATTGGTGTAAGTAACAACACTAAAGAAGGTGCTTGGAAAAGCTCTCGTCTTTTGTGAAGTGATTCTGGAAACAATCCTTCGAAAAAGCTGAAGCATTAATAAATCACTACCCGTCGACATACATTTCATTTAGATATTTTATGTAAATAACAATGTCAGATTTTCTAATGACATTTAGCAAATGCAAATTAAGAAATACATGAAAAGGCATCATATAAGTCTTTTAAAAAAAATGTGAAAGAGAACTGCTCAACCAAGGCAACCAAATTTCCAGTCAATGACATTCATTGACATAAATTCCATTAAGTATCAATGATAAAAAACAGTGAACACTTTTGCTTTCATTAATTTTCATTGAGCAGTGAGGGTTCTTTATCATGCCAACGCCTACCGTGACATGGGACCTCGGTTTTTAAGGTCTCATCCGAAAGACCCGTGACTTTCACTTCTAGTACCAGGCGCTTGAATTGGCGAAGGAACAGTCACGACCTATGTTTACGTCTTAGGTTTGACACGGCGCGGCGAACGAGAATCGAACCCGAGGCTCCCGATCATGAAGCGAGTGCCCCACCACTAGGCTACTGTGACCGGTTTGAACTGACTAAAAAAGCTTACTGGACGCGGTAGCATAGTGATCGTAAGCGCCATGCATAGGTCAAAGAAGATGGGCGGACAAGGAGAGCAAAATGCCTATTGTGCGACAAATAAGGCAGTAAAAAAAATTTTTTTTTTGTGGTATTTTATTTAACATTAATGTATACTTTATGTAAAATCTCCATAAATTGCAACAATATCACAAAGATTGAAATTATTTGTCTGTGAAATAGCATACATACAACAAAAAAGATAAATTCTTTCTACGAAAACAATTTTTCCATATGAGCTCCACTTATTTTGAAAGATTATATTCAAACATATACATTTAACAAAACATGGAACAAAGACTAACTGTACATTTTAAAAAAATACACCGGTATGACACCGCAACTTTCCAAGACATATTTGAAGTCTATTTAGTTAAGGGTTAGATCGCAAACACGTTTTAAACATGTATTTGTTATGAGCGGTATAGCGTAGTGGTAAGCATGTTAGTTTCAAAAGGGAAATTAATACTCAGGATATTTATTGCTTGGGTTCGAACCCCAAGGAATATAGCATTTTTATTTTTAAATCATAGAATGATTTTTGCTGAATATAATTTCCTCAGAAAAGTTTTGTTTGTCATAATTTTATACTTTTCAATGACAAGAACATTATTCTAAATTCAAAATTCACAAACTCAACATGAATTTCATAAATTTGAAGCTAAAGGCATTTTGCACGCCTTGTTCGGCCATCTCCTTTGTGGCACTTCAACTAAAGCAGGTGACGCCTTTTTGTGAACGAAAAAAATTCTCGAATGAGACGTTAAACAACATACAATCAATCTATATACTTACTTCTCAAAACAGCCATCAAGAGTAAAAGAATCTTTGGTATTTCCCTGTTCTAGCTCCAAAACAGTGACAATCAAGGCTTTTTCTTTTTGTCCAATTGTATAAACAGTAACGCCATCTTTTCCAACAGTAAAATCAATAACGTGACTTGGCAAATCTATAGCTACATCATGGGTTTTGTTTAAACTGACAACTTTCAGTTCCCCTTTGTTGTCCAGAAGACAACATTTGTCATCTGCACAGATGACTACCTTTTGAGCTTCCATACCAATGTCAAACTCCTTTATAAATTTTGCATCATTCAATAACCAAACCCGTAGCATGTGATCTCTTGAAACTGTCACTAGCTCCATTCCATTTGGATGTATATCAAAACTGCACACTGTATTCAGAGCCAAAAGCTCCATATTTTTCTTCATTGACTCTGTGATGTCCTCCAGCAGTTCAGTCAAAGACCATACCTTCATTTCATTTCGACCCTGAGTAATCAAATAATCTTCAAACACATACATTTTCTCTACAGCCCCTGTATATGCTTGGAAACTTCCACATTTCACTCCTGTCTTGGAACTGTACAGTGTGACAATCCCTTCATTATCACCAAGGAGCACGGAAGAGCATGTATCTCTAATTGCAAAGATTGTGACTGGTTTTTCAGTCCCCACGTGGAATAAGACCTCACTCTTTTGTAAATCAACAGCAGACACTTTACCTGTGCTCATTAAGACATAAGCAAAAGCATTAGATTTTGAAAATTCTATCTGTTCTATGCTCTCTTCAATATCTATTTTAGACATTTCTTTTGCATGGATTATATCAACAGTCAAAATCTTTGATGAGATTCCATCTTTTGCAACAGCAGTAAAGTAGGAATCCTTGTTGGACAGTCCAAGAAAACCATTACACAACGGATAATTAAAAAGATAATGTTTTGGTTCCATTTCTCCAGCTTTATACAGCCGAAGCTCACTTTTTTTAGAACCACCAGACTCTGAATTAACAGCCACAAGCATCCGTAGATTGTCACTTTTTGTACATAGAATTCCCATAACATCCCCCACTTCTTCTTTCAAAGTCCATCTATCAACCAGCATCAGACTGTCACTCTCCAGTAATAAAACGTCTCCGTCATCTAACAAAACAGCTACATGACGAGTGTCTGTGCTCATCACCTTGGAAACCATCTGGTTTTTAGATGAATCATTGGTAATATCTCTAAAGATTTTGGTGACACGGTTCCCACTAACAAGGTGAAACAGAGTGATGGAATCGTGTGAGGTATAGATGACATTTTCCCCTGCTTTGTCTAGGATTGGATAATGCTTTGTCTGTTTGATGTCTGGAATATTTACTTGCTGGAGGATTTGGGTGCCAATGTGGAACATTTTATGTGGGAAATCTTGTACCTTTGCATTTCCTCTCCTGTAAGTTTTCACCAAAAGTGAGCTTTCACTGCGGCTTATTACTTCCTCTATTCCATCGTATGAATGCACAAAAGATGAAGAAAGATCTTTCTTAGGTGCCAGTCCAGGATAAACTGGTATCAATCCAGGGTTGTCAGGATTTTCTAAGTACCTGGTTGCTTGCTCTTTCAACTTCTTAAGACAAGATTCATTAACATCAGAATTAATATAAGAAAGTATATTGCTTGCAAGTCTGCTCGAATTTGATACCTCACTCTTGGTCAAGCAGAAAAAATTTCTGAGTTTCTTGATTTCTTCATCTTTTTTGTTTTCCAGGTATTCAAACAAATCATCCACTATTACATCAACACCGCTAGAAAATAATTTACTGCTCAGGAATTTGAAATTACAAAAACAGTTTTCTTTAGCTAACACTTCAGACAGGGCTTTTCCAGCATGGGTGATGTGGTACGGAAGACATTGCAACATTCGTTTGTTTTTGCACGTAAGTGGTTGTGGAGTTATTTGTCTGTCTGCATTCGGGACTGTCAACTTTCTCCTGGAAAGAGTGATGTCTCTTTTAACTCCATCTTCATTCATGAAAATTTCTACCAAATTTCGGTTTAGCTTTTCCCCAAGTGATCCTGAAGCATACCTTTTTTTGGCTGTTTCAATAAATTGTCTGTGGTACCAGTTCATAGTATACTTGTCGGAAGATATTCTCTCTACGATGTAGTCCTTAATGTCATATCTTATCCTAGCAGCCAGAACAGGGGGTATTCTAACAATGCCCTCTACTGGTGGGTTGTGGTAACGATAAACATCATCTAAAGCTTCATCATCACATGACAACACATCCTCCAGCTCATTCTCAGAGATACCGTCTCTTGCTATGGTGATGTAACCTAGAGCGTGGCTTGTTATGACCTTTCCAAATTTAATCTCAAGATTGTCAAAGAGTTTATTAATGGCTCCTTGGACTGTCTTCTCTAGTTCTACTAGATGAGGCGAAGTAAAAGACCTCCATTTGAGTGCCTCATCCAGAATAAGTTTAAGGAACAAAGGTCCAGGACATTTTTTAAAGGTGTTTATCAAAACCTTTTCTTGACTCTCTGTTATTTTTTTGTTTTGCTTTGACAGATATTTGTTAATAATGGCAATCCCAGTTTCCAAGGGAAGCTCTGGAATCTCCACATAACACTTCTCATCTGGCAGCAAAGCTCTCAAGTTATCAAGTATCCCATGTTCCTTGGGAAGAGTGGATACCACAAGCTTAATGTTCTGTGGCAGTGTAGTCGGCAACCATTGTAGTCCATAAGCATGGTGTAAAGGTGACAACTGATCAAGAGAATCCAGAAGAATAACAATTGGCTTTTTCAGAAAATTTGCGATCTTTCGCCAAAACCTTGGCATGTATTCTTGGATATTCTTCATACTTTTGTATCCTACAGGTTCCATGATCTGCTGTGCAACATCAGCAAGCTGTCCACACACACTAAGCAGCACATCATAAATATTCAGAGTCAGAGCAGAAGTGCCTAAGAAGCGGATAATTCCAACGTGCGGTTTATTCTTGAACCACTCAGGCAGACTCTGCATGATCATGGCCATTACAGATGTCTTTCCATTTCCAGAGGGAGCATAGATGACAAAAGGCTTTCTCACTGCACCATCCAAAATGTACTTTTTAACACTGTCCATGATGTTTTCCTGTCCACAGAATGTCTGGCATTTGGTGTCACAAAAATGCAAATGATGAAGCACCTCATTGAAATCACTGTAATACCCAGCTTTGCGATTAGGACGGAAATCTCTCTCATTATCAGCAGCTTCTATCTGGCTTTTTAAATCATTATAAAAGTACTCACAGAAATTGTCGAGGTATTGTTTATGTTCTTCGGATGCTTTTGGGTCAATGCCAGTTGGAAGCCACCGCACAGTGAAATCATGGAAATACTTTGATTCAATCCTTTGCTTTACTTTTTCCTCCAATTTTCCCTGAAGATACTTGATTTCTTGGTCAGGAACAGCCTAAAAGTATATTAAAATAGGAGTTATTGAAAGTAAAGATCTATGAAGTGATTCATGGTGGTTTTATTTTCTTTTACGTCTATACTTACATCATACAAAAAATTCCAAGACGTCACACTAAAACAAATACAAACATTAAAGCAAAATTATGTTTGAAACATATTTTTCTTACAACAGGGTGTGGATTGATCCACTATGATTGACATCTATAAATCCGAATCTGCTGGCATTAATTCTTACTAATATAAGTACCTTTCTATTACTTCCTAACACAAAATATTCATGAGGATAAGCAAAATTAGCTACGATTATCATTTTTCATAGGCGGCGGAACGAGGGGGGGGGGGCTAGGGGAGGCTAACTTTTTTGCAAAGATAGATATAATATATGCATTGACAATTGGGGCTTAGTCCCCAAACGTTTTTTTGTTGCATTAGCACTCCCCCCACTTTCAATTAGCCCCCCCCCCCCCACACACACACTTTCAATTTGCTTCCGACGGCTATGTTTTTAACACATTTAAAATTGCGGAACAGCTTTTTAAAAACTCCACTTTTTATTTGTTTTGGACAAATTATCCTGAATAGTTTATATCTTTAAATATCAATTTTCTTTTGTTTCACATTAGTCAAAATCATCAGAATTCTTTAGGGTCAATTATTTATGGATTTCTCTCTCACTCTCTCTCCCAACAAGAAAAAATCGGTGAATAAAAAATATATAGATAGACATGGATTACTATAGTAATGAATTTACATCCCCAAATTTGATAGAATTTTTGTGAATTTTTAAATTTAACAAGGATGTATAAATTTTCAATTTTCAGTTACCTACTATTTTTGGTATTTTGACCGTGATTCAAGAGTTACTTTAATGCCGAGTCATCTTGATGCTTTTTGTAACTTATTTTTCATCCATAAAAATATAAAATGTCAAAGTTGTTATCAGAAATGTTTCAATTATTTTAGCAAAAAATTCGCACCCCTTAGCTTTAATTCCTTCTCTTAAAAAATCGCATGTGGATCCTTTGGCCCTTTTCTGAAAGAACTTATGACTAAGACCAAAGTATGTTTTTGCATATAATTTTCTTCCTTTAATTAAATTGATGAAGGTATATAATCTTATTTTTTAAGACTCGGGGAAAGTGTTTCGTTATTCCTTGTGTAAGACGAACGCAAGATTCAGTTACCTTTCCATTCTCTACAGTGGTGTCAATGTGTCGTTTTGTCATTCTGTCTTCGTAGTTCGTAAAACACTGGATTTCTCGATGGAACACAACAACACTTTGGCCTGGAGATTTTGCATCTAAAATTCCATTTTCAATCTCTTTCTCCGTCACTATAAATTAAAAATTGATTATTTTACTTTCATTTTAAAAGCATTTAAAAGTATTTCATTAAAAATCTTATAAAATCTTACACTAGTAATCTATCCAATGTTTGAGTTGAAAAAAAACGTGGATTGATATGTTTTTCACTGGCAAATATGTTACAAGATTAACAATGTCATTCTTTTTCAACAAGTACTTATACATGTTAAAATTATAATTACCTCCCATCTTTATGGCTAGAGAATATATTATCGAAGAAAGAGCAAAAATTAAAATTTGAGTTTATGAAGAAAACTTTCTAATAATTTATCTACAAATCTAATTATTATATACCTGACATGTAGAATTCATGCAATTGTTTGTCTGTTAGTTTGTTTGCTTGATGTGAAGACAATGCAGCACTTTTGAGAATATCCCTCAAATCTGCAAATGTTTTCTCCCACTCTTGAGTATGTTGAGCTCGAGATTCATCACATCCCGGTGAGTAGTCCCCAAAGAATGGAAACTGGGATCTGACTGGCTGAAAACAATTTTAAAGTTCTAAATACATGTATTTGATGATTGATTGATTGTATATTGTTTTACGTCTCATTCGACAATTTTTCACTGATAGAGAGACGTCCCCATGTACCGGTGAAGGGCTTCAAATTTAGACCTATAGTCGGCACTCAGGTTTATTGAGCAATGAGGGTTCTTTATCGTGCCAACCTGCCGTGTCACGGGGCCTCGGTTTTTAAGGTCTCATCCGAAAGACCTGTGACTTTCACTTTTAGTACCAGGCGCTTGGCGAAGGAAGTCACCACCTATGTTTACGTCTTTGGTTTGAAGCGGCGAGGCGAACGAGAATCGGACCCGGGCCTCCCGATCACGAAGCGAACGCCCTACCATGTAGATGAACTACTGTGAAAACATCATCAATTTATTAAATGTATACTGAAGGGGAAAACGCAGGGTAACATTATTTAAGTTAATTAACTTTTTGGCCGAAAATTATGAAACGTGGTCATCAGTTTAACTTGGTCACTGTGCACCAAACGCGGTGCCGTGTATATGATTTCACATAGGAAAAGTAATAAACAGCCAAAAACACGTGCAGCATGATGATAACGAGTTCGTCAACATATCAAGTCCTATCATTTGATACTTTTGAGGTATACACATCGTGTCTCGCTCTTTACAGTTGAATTTCTTGCAATCATAAAACGGCTGTGAGTGATCACAGAAGAGAGGTTGACTATTGCTTTGGTAATCAAAGACAATGAAGGTTTCTGTATAGTATGTTATGAATGTTTCTACCATAGAAGGCCCTGTCCGTCTGAGAGGAATCGGAGGATCAGCCAAGGTAACGCGACGGGGACATCTACAATTAACGATTTAATATCAAGACAGGGTTATTCACAATCGCCACGATTCCACTTAACTATCACTGAAATTAAAACAGAAGGCAATCATCGTCAAATTCGTCAAAAACTGGAAGAAAGGGATTTTGCGAGATTGTTAGCTCGTCGGTGGTTCTATCAATCGCGCACGTGCGCGTTGTTTGATTTATTCTTCAGCATGCTACATGTAACCCCCGACTCCAAATGCTAACTCCTGAATCATTGGTCATAAAGACAAGATATGTTTGGAGTCATATCCGGCCCCGCATCCAAATTATATGTATCATATTCCTCAAATTTCTATATATATATATATATATATACGCCATGGAAGAAATTTGAGGAATATGGCATAAAACACGGACCCCTGGAAATTCCAGAGGAGGGGTCAGGTGCCCAGGAGGAGTAAACATCCCCTGTTGACCGATCATACCCGCCGAGAGCTCTATGTATTGATCAGGTAGACGGAACATTCCATATTCAAATTCAGTATAAAAACAAAGACCTAAAAATATCTAATTATTTTTCAATTTCCCGCGCAACGCATTGGCACAACAAATTTGCATTGCAGGTCGCCCGAGTGGCGCAGTGGTTAGAGCATTTGTTTAAGAGTTACAGAGTAGGAGCTGATCCTTACGTCGCAGATTCGAATCCACTGTATGACAAGGAAACCGGTCCTTTGGCATCGTCGCAAGCCACGGGTTTTGTGTCCATTCTATTTCCACAAACCCGTGGCTGCCTCCTACCAAAGAATGAATCTTCATAACACTGCTTTCTCGCCCCTTTTTAAAGTGACACAGTGACGGACAAACGGGAAAATTGACAACAGTAGAATTTTTTGCATGACACATGCAAATTTTGTTCAGTTCTTGAAGATATTAGGTTTCAGAAAATTACAGGTTTCAGAACCTAAAAAATCTAATTTAATGGAGAAAAATAAAAGTAAAAAAAAATCTTTGTATAACCCATCACAAAAATATTGCTTCACTTCTTCCTTTTTATTGTACGCATGCGCTGAAAAGTTGAAGAATTTACCATGGTTTCAATTCCATAGATATAAATGTCGGATGACTGAGAATTCTGATACAATCTTCAAAAAAGATTATCATAACTTATTCCTTACTTCTTCTTGCCCCAATTCAATGTTGTTTACAAGTTTCACGCTAAAAATAATGGACGCATGACCTTGACATTGTGACATTGACGATAAAAACAAAGCAATAGATACAACATTTGTTTTTCCGGCACTTATATTATGCAGTTTTTTTCTTGCATTACAGTGCAGTTGAGTTGTCAAAACTTCGCTACATTCATATTTCACAGAAATCTTTTGTTTTGTGATAAAATTTTCTCAAAAGAAACACATGGTTTTGACTCATTATGCAACTTTAAATGCAGAATTTTACCTTTTCAAATCAGAACATTGTTATATTATAGCTGAAGTCTTCAAGCATAGTCTGTTTAGATACTCATAAAAGATTTTTTGGGGAAAGAGACTTTCAATATATACATTATATCGATTAAATAAAATCGTATACTTCACTGTAAAATCCCGGTTTCGCCATAACTGTTATGTAGGTCATTGTGTTATTTGAATGAGAAGGCAGAGCGTCTATCAAGCGTGCGATTAGTATGAATTCATTAGCGTGTGTTCGAGGTGTACTAAGTTTTATGATTAACTGACACTCAAAAAGCCTTTTTTCATGCTAGAGACCGACAAAATATAAGCATACATTTTATAATTTGTCTGGATTAACTTAAATTTTTTTCTGCTTAACGTACGATTCGTATTTGAAATGATTTACTAGAAATTTGTTAAATTATTTATACATTAAATACACAATGGAATTTGGAAACAGAGCGTATAACGAAGGACACACTATTTTTCATACTTTTAAGAAACCTTTTTTTTTTCTTTTTTTTTAAAAAAAAAGAAGAGATAATTAATCCATTTAAGCTTATTACATAATTAGAAATTTTTCATACATACATGTATATATAATTTTGCAAAATCCGAGTGCTACAACAAATACACGTAGGCGGTTGAATTATGATATAAAACTACACTCAGTGTATAAGAAATACATAGCTAAGAAAGTGAAAATTTAAACGTCAATTAAACGTCAGTTTATCATGGTGGATAAAGAAACATCCGTGTCGGTGTACTTTGTACAGTCCAAATTGCGTTGTTTCAAAAAATCCTGTTTATTCATGCCAGACAAGTTAATATGATCTTCCTCATTTAGGAATTCATTAATTGTCGAAATCCTCTCCTGTACTTTTTGATTTTAACAAACTCCCTCCCAGAATTTTAATTACCCATTTGAAGAATGATTTGACCATCGATAGCTCGCAGACACTAGACACAATGTCGCATAGGTGTGCTCAAATCGTGGAAGTGAATAGATTTGAGTCACGTGTTCAGTGCTTTGTTATTCATGAGGTCAAAGACAGGTTGAAATTTGTAAACATTGTGCCTTTACTATGGAGACAAGCACCCGTGATTTTTGCACCTTTTTGGAAAATAACAAATGAGCGCAAGACTGTTTCAATTTTTTCATGAATGTAAATGACTAGTATAACTCTTTACATTGACCGTATTTACGACAACTTGAAACATCCATGCGCTCATATGAAAAATGGGCTTGCAAAACGGGGGTGTGGCCTAAAGTCTTTGAGAAATCGATGTAAACAACATACCCCTGCTATATTAATCACATAAATACCTAATTACAGTGCAAGGAAGTAAAAATTGAAATTGAAATTAATTAACTACAATGTTTGATGGAAAGATTGAGGCAAAAATATGTAGAAAATCTTTAATTTATTTTTTTGTAAATTATCGGGGGGCCAGATTTGGACGTTTAAACGATTCATCCTTCTCTCGTTCTCGCGACTGAATCATTGAATATTTATCAAGTGACGCCAGATTTACCTTGACCAATGAAATCACTCTATAGCAATTTTTGGTATGCTTAAATGGCGGCGCCCATAATGAAATCATGTTTGCTATGCGTGGTAGATTTATTGAAAAAAATACGATAGATCATGAAGAACAGAGGTGAGTAACGTATATTCTAAAATACTTACAAGGTTTTACATTAAAATACAGGGTTTCGAATGTACACGTTGTGTGAGAACGCTGAATAGCGTTACTCGTTAAGAAAGGAAATTCGAACCGAAGTTGATGTACAGCTCGTGGTTATGGTTACATCCAAATACAATATAGACTGATCATTTTCATTGGTTCTGACTTGAAGCGTCAGATGTTATTCCATTGGTTGAATGTATGTTATTAATATTCATGAGAACGAGAGAAATTTGTAGGAGACAGCCACGGGTTTGTGGAAATAGAATGGACACAAACCCGTGGCTTGCGACGATGGTCCTTCGGATGAGACCGTAAAAACTGAGGTCCCGTATCGCAGTAGGTGCTGACAAGCAAAAAAAAAAAAAAGATCCCTCACTGTTCAATAGATTTTTCTTTACATTTTTTCAATCTTCCTTTAAAAAATAATGTAACGAATGAAGCCTTTGTAGAAACTAATATAACAAGTGAAGCACTTTCAATAGATCAATTCATAGATATATCTACTTCACAGAAGATACATCTACTTAACAGAAAAGCATATTGTTCTTGCACCTCGTGCTTAGTCGATATGCTTTTCTTTGAAGTCGAGATAACTATGGATCGACCTCATAAAAGGGCTACATTTGTATATTACATAGTGCCAAAGCTGGAAGCTGTGGATACCTGAAGTATGTACATAGGTGGCAAGCAGTTCTCATCTAATTTGTACCATGTCTCGAGAAGTTTGACAGCGTTGAGTTTTACATCATTCTTCTGGACTGCTTCTCTCAGAGTCTGAAAAACCTCCTCACTGATTTCTGTAGGAATTGGGCGGAAGCCATATCTGTCACCCATGATGGCCTAATTAGGAATTAATAAATGATTAAACATAGATTACATAAATTAATTTGAATGCATCAATTTCTTTTTATTTAACTTGACAGGATCATTTTGTAAAACCAAGTTAATTAGAAACTACATACTTTCAACTGATCTCACACGAGCAATTCCTGTTTGAATTATACAGAAATTTTATTTTTTAGCTCAAGAAATACGGGAAGGACAAAATTTAACTCCCTGACGTAGACTTGATACGCGGTAACAACTCGAGTGGATACCAGTGCGCTAGAGAATAAACTACACGGTGAAACATCTATATTTCGTATTAGATTTCATCATTAATTGATTTTGCATTTTATTGCTAATTTATTCTTATATTATGTGATCAAACTTTGCATAATTTGGCAAATTTCATGTAACCAAAGTTTTGAGGCAAAATGAGTTCTATATCCTACCTTATTCTTTCTGTGTAACATGAGTGTTGATACGTACAAATGAATTTTATTGTGCACCAATGGCTTAATACCGAGAGAACCCTTGCATGCAAGTCCGGTAAAAAGACCTTGTCCCAATTGAAGATTGACTATTTTTTCCAAAAAAAAAAAAAAAAATAAATAAATAAAATAAAAGTAAAGTAAATATTATGACAAGCAGAATGAATTTTTAGTATTTTTTAAATTAGGAATGGCAATCGAATATAGAATTGGCAACCAGTCAACTGGTTAAGAGCGATTAATCAAAACACACATTTTTTTGACAAATTCTTTTCAGGAAAGCTTTATTCATTTACATAGGACGACTGAAAAAGACGAGAGTAATACCGGTAGTTTGTTTATGCTTCATCAGGACACTATATATTTATAATTTTAATTTCAATAGGCAAAGTGAAAAGTTAAATAAAAACATGAATATCCCTGAGATATCTGTGACATTAATTATATTTTTCAGACCATATGTCACACAGGTCATGCTGATTTTCACTTTTATCAGAACTTAATGTGTACTATCCCTTAATTTAATTTACAGTTTGCTTAATGATATAATTTGATAGATAACTGAATGATAGATGGGTAGATACACATGTACCCATTAAATTCACTTTACAGTTTATATCATTAACGAAATATAGGACTGGCTTTGTAACGACCGGATATTTAAACATGTTTTAACACTTCATAAACTGACTATTCAACCCAAATCTCAATCCAGAAAGCAATAATTGTATAGATATGTGAATTCGTTATCAATTTTAAGCATATTTTAATTTTTTTTTTCCAATTTATTACAGATAAAATTTCCTAACCAATTAATATTTACATTCAGTGTAATTTTCTTTATGAAATCCATGTTTTGCAAAATGTTTATTTGCGTTATTTAACACTCCAACGTCACAAACGGCTCTTACGTCTAATAAGCACACTAGTTCTGAAAGGAGCTAAATTCATAATAAAGATTAACAAAATGAACAATTATGAAGAGAGAAAATTAGAGAATGTTAATATAAGCAATATTTACATTCAGTGTAATTTTCTTTATGAAATCCATCAGAAACCTACGACGTTCATATCTCTATAACACACGCGAAACCTTGTCACCGCGCGGTAGAATACACATAGGAACTATATGCATTTTCAATATCTAGGAACACCAAAATGTATATTGTTTTGACTCAATTTAATTTTTAAAAAATTAACTACCCTGTTGAATTTACGTAAAATACAACTGTGCGTTTAAAATTAATTGGTCTTTTTTTCTCGCAATGTTCATTTGAGTTATTTGACTTTCTAACGTCACAAACGACTCTTTCGTCTATTAAGCACACCAGTTCTGAAAGGCAATAAATTCATCATAAAGATTAACAAAATAAACAATTATGAAGAGAGAAAATTAGAGAATGTAAATATAAGCATTGAATTCTTATTTCTGGATGTCGTCGGTCCTATAACATACCTGGCTGTGCCGACAATTTGAATACCGCGCGGTATCCAAAAATAAGAATTCAATGCTTAAATATTACCATTGTTCCGACAGAGTAACCGGTTAACCGATCACGTTTGGCCTTCAGCATTTTTTAATCGACTATCTTGAATTTTAGATCCACATTAAGATGTTCATAGAAGATGTTGATGAAAATCTTCCTATTTGTAACGTTAAAGTGCAAGTGACATTAAGTAATACTCCTATTATGACGTCATCATAAGTATAACGCTATGATAACGTTACAATGCAATGCTATGTTTGAATAGGCAGTCTAGATAAACAAGTCAAAGTGTTTAAATGTGTTTTCACCTTATCTGACTCAAAGTAACTAACAACTATACAATCTCGACAGAGGATAAGCCGATATTCTAACTGTCTTTGTTGTACAGTAAAACATAATTTGTAATCAAACAATTCCCAAGTTTAAGCAGTTTAAAATTCTCAGTTGAAAGAGTACTGTCCCTGTACCAGAAAGGGTCATTAAGCCATAGGTGGCACATGTATATGATGCAGGAACTTAAGAAAAATATGATGTATGAACATATACCACAAAGTTAGGTCCTAGTGACAACTTTTGGCAATTCGCTACTTCCTGAAGACAGATTTTATCCACACTGTGGTCATTCTGGCAATCTTCTGTAACACCCCACCTCATGTCCACCACCTGAAAATCTAGATCCTTGGACAAACATAGCTGTTTTAGCTTTGGAAAAACCTCATGGGATAGGATGTTCCTCTCTGCCCTCATGTCTAAAGATCACAGGATATGAGATAAAAAAAACAAAAACAAAAAACAATGAAAGTGCATGAGTTATAGATTTTTTAAAACACAATTTTTATCTTTTTTAAGAATACATATGAATATAAATTTATACATTAATTTTTTTTCTCACCTGAAAACGTTGAGCTGATAAATATTCTGACAACTGATCTTGGAAGATGAGGAAGATTATCAATCTTCCCTTGAAGCATCTTGTCAAATATGGCCTCTTTCTCCTTGGAATGATTTTGATCCTGTTTTCTATCATCTATGATTATGAAATAGTTTAAAATCCTTCATTTATCAGACTGATTAACTAGGTGATACTCAACTAATTTTTTTTTTTTAGACATTACCAGAAATTTATCTAATGCTTCTTATATTGGCACTAAAAAATCTTTAATCACTTTTTAACTAGAAAACTATTTTTGAATTGTACAGTTTATGTTTATTGGCATTAATGACTTTCAAATAGGTAAAATGGAAACTATCGCATAACGGGTATTTCTGCAGTTGTAAATTTTTGCGAGTTGACCCCTGAATGTAGCAAATTAATTTTTGCGTTTTCATTTTCTGTGGTTGCATCATAACGCTAATATGAATTTCCGGATACAACTACATGTACTTTTTGTTAAAGGTTTTTAACCACGTTTCTAAATTTCTTGAAATTTAAAAACATAATAGTGTACTTATTACATATTATTTTACCATTTAAAGGGGCGTGGACACAGCTACCTTGTTTACAATTTTAAATGTCTATTTTTTAAATAAAAATAACTTCAGTTAAATGATTTGAACTTGCATGAATATTCTAAGAATTCAATGACAACGAGATTCTTCATAATATCACGTCACACACCTGTGTTTGTAAACCGGGCACGGGCTCTGTTACTGTTAGTCTTCATGTTTTACCGGGTGTGTTCAATTTGGTTAGTCTGCTCACATCATTGAGCACGGACTGACAATAATGGTATTTGTTTTGCTTTTCTCGCATTTCTACTCTGAACTTTCTGGATTATAGTGTTCATATTTTTCATTGATACACAACAAAATTTATGCTTTAATTAAGTATTATGGAAAACGTTACTTTGTGAAAGTGCAAGAATATGTGTTAATCAAACGCGTCTCAGAATTCGTAGTTTTAATGATTTCCAGATAAAGGAAGTTTCTAAACACGATTTTATTTTATTTTAATGTGAAATGCTCTAGCAACATGTAAGTCATGATATAATTTGCTCTAGCAACATGTTAGTCATGATATAATTTAGAAATTTTTTTAAAAGAAAATATGAGCTTCAAATTTGTGTCCCAGCCCCTTTAATTAAATTTAATTGAATTAATTATCTCTGATGAATTCCATCATTCTCCCAGTGCTTTACCATTGGATAGGATGTTATCAGCCTTTTTGAACTATTCGATAGAGGATGGTGTATCAAGCTCCTATAATTGTATCAAGCTCCTCCTCTGATTAGTAAGATACTAGTGTCCTCAATGGCTGTGTCTGTGGCAATGCTTTCTCTGGGATATAATTCTAAGTAATGTTCTGCCTTTATTTTCTTCTGTTTGGCACGGTCGATAATAATATTGCCTGACGTGGATTTAAGGAGCAATTTTGATGGCACTAAAACCAAAAGTTTTCTCCATCCCCTGGTACATAAGACTGCAGTCCGCAGAGATTTCGATGTCAAGATATACTGTGGGATCATTTTGATTTGTGGGAGTCAATGTTCGTGGACAATTAAATTATACTTGTTCGTGCGACGTAATTTCGGCGGATACTAGTTTATAAGGTAGATTCAATGAATGAATATGTTTACAAAATAAACGTTCGTGGGGATGTAAATTCATGAGCAAACGTACCCACGAAATCTATGAACATCGGTACCCCACGAAGAATGATGATTCAACAGTAGGTTTACCCAATAGTCATTGGCACACTTTCGAGCGACTCGTTGTACTTGCTCCGTGTTACTCTGTAGTCATCATATTTCAGGAGGACAGTGCGTTTGGCAATTATTGTAAGCCCCAATTCCTGTATCCCTACATCTTACAAGTACTCATTCTTTCTCGTTCTCATCCAATAGGTTTTTGAAGCAGTCATGTATACGGCATTGATGTAATCCCAGGTGACTGTTGCATTGACTCTCGGGCAATTCATAAGGGCCTCGTCCAATGCTTTTGTGAAACGCTCCTTTAAATCTGGCATAGACATTCCAGCAGTGGTGATACGAGGACGGCCTTTTTGTTTGGATCGGTCAATACGTTTGGGTTGTATGCGTACTTTGCTGCTGAATACGGAGTGGTCAGTATCAAACCTTGGGCTGTGATATTGCGTGTGACAAGCATATTGCTGAGGAATGGTCTGCTAGTGATAACAACGTCCAGTTGGTGCAAATGGGGTGTCTGCAGGATAGTCTTTAATGTGGTTTGGTTGGGACGAACGTTTTGGTAATACGAAGGTCGTGTTGGGAGCATAGTTCAAATAGTCGCTGTTCGTTCTCATTGAACTTGCCAATATCAGAGTATCCAAAGCAACGTGGCCAAGAACTGTGTTCTGAATTCATCCGAGCATTAAAGTCCCCAAGCATGCATATTTCTTCCTTTGAATGGATCTCTTTAGACTTAGACACAAGTTTCTCGTCGAATACATCGTTTGACTCAGCTGTAGAGTATAATGTAGGGACAGAATATGTTTACAAGACCAGAGGAGGCCAAGAGTCGAAAGAAAATCAATCCCATGAAACCTGACTTCGACATGCAGCTTCGAATCCTTGCCACAAGAACGTGTAATTCTTCTTGTTCAGTTTATCTGAGGGGAGTCGTGTCTCCTAGGGTGCGTTCAAGAACGTAGCGGCTACGTAGCCTCTACGTAATGCTACGATCTTGAACGTTAAGCTAGCCTAGCTGCTACGTAGGGAGAGATAGCACAAATTTGCTAAGTATCAAATCTAAGATGGCCTCCTTAGTTACAACTTCGCAGCACACAGGATTTAAAAAAGAAGTGTTATTGCTTCTACATCTTAGCGAATCATATACATTTTCGCTTGAAATAAACTCTCTTTGTTCCAAAATTAAGTTTTTACTGATATATGTTTATCCGAAATCTAACACTTGGCGGCTAGGCTAGCTGTCCCTTTCATAGAGATACGTAGATATCTACTACCTAGCTGCTAGGTTAACTGCTACGATGTTGAACACAACCCTGGAAGAAGGCACTGCTAATGTTCGACAGTTCGCGGTCTTTGATTGCGGTTTGCCTTGCATCGTCAACTTGCTGTAGATCGTCCGAAAGGACAGGGCACATTGTTCTGACATTCCAGATGGCCAACCATGGTCCCTCCCAACGTCAGAGACAACACGTAGTGCCTAAGCATACGCCAATACGTGGAAGGCTTATCAATCGTAACTGCTGTCTCCCTTGTTGGTTCTGTCGTTGGCATAGCGGCACTAAAATTACCTTTTAAGGGCTTATGCCTGAGCAGAATATTACTGAGATCCTGGGTAACCCAGACGTCAGAATCCCCCTCTCGGCCATCCGGAAAAGATCCGACAGAGGGAACTAGAAGGGAGAGCTCCCAGTTTCACAATCAAAATGACTTTTTGCTCCAAAGATTGGAGCAAAGTGCAATACCACAGAACATGCGAGATGCCACTATAGTCATATTTTACAAAAACAAGGGCGACGGGAGTGACTGCAACTCCATTCTCAGCATGGATGGGGAAAGCCTTCACAGGTGTAGTTTTCAACAGGTGTCAGCGACTTGCAGATCGAATGTATCGAGTCACAATGCGGAGTAAGGGCTGCAAGGTCAACAAAACATGTTGTTCTCCCTCAGACAGCTATGGAAAAAATGTGAGAAACAGAGACGACTCTTATTCCTTGCTTTTGTTAACCTAACCAGAACATTCCACCTGTTCAGCAGAACCGCTATTTTCATCCTCCCACATAGGATCGGTTGTCCTCCAATGCACTTGAGAATGATCATGTCCATTCACATTACTGGCAATATGCAATATAATGGATCAAGCTCATAACCCCTCCCAATTAATAATGGTGATAACAAAGACTCGTTCTGGCACCAACACTCTTCGGCATCTTTTACTCATTGCTGCTGCAATATGCTTTCAAGAAGTCGGAAGATGTCATTTTTTTCTCCAAACTAGGAGTGATGGGAATCTCTTCAATCTGGCCCGACTCAGAGCATAAACAAATGAAAGATGCACCGAGTCCTCATCAGGGAAATGCTACATACAGACGATGCAGGCTTATATGCACACACTAGGGAAACACTGCTTATTACCCGCTTCGCCGATGCTTGTTCTGAGTTTGGACTAACCATCAGCCCAAAGACCAACATTATGAGTCAGAATGTTAGCATCACTCTCCAAATCACTGCTGGTAGCCACACACTGGAGGTTGTTAAAAATTTTGTCTATCTTGGCTCAACCATCTCGAGTAAGCAATATATTGTTGTTGAAATAAACACGTGGATAGACAAAAACGCAACTGCAATGACTTCATTTAAAAAGAGTGTTTAAGACAACACTTAGCTGACAACCAACACAGAGAAGAAAGTGTACAAAGCCTGTGTTCTGATTACCCTCCGATATGGTAGTAAATCCTGCAATCTAACTCCTGTCAAGCTAAGGATAAATGCTTCCCATATGCGCTGTCTAAGACAGCTCATTGGCATCTTCTGGAAAAACCACATCACCGACGAGAATGTTCCCTCCAAAGCAGATATGCCAAACATGTTCGCAATTGTAATACAGACAAGGATACGTTGACTAGGCCATGTCTGTTGCATGGATAATGGGTGCATTCCATAAGATGTTCTCTACGGGAAAGTTGCAACATGAGCACAGTCCACAGGTCGACCCAACCTCTGACTTAAAGACGTCTGTAAACACAATTAACTTGAAGGCCTTTAAAATTTGCCCAGAAGACCTAGAGCGATTTAAACCTGGATCTCCATCCTTACGGCTGGCATCCATCAAGCTGAGAAAAGGAGGAAGGATCAAAAGGAAGTAAAGAGAGCACACATTCTACAATGTAACCAGTGAGATCCTGTCACAATCCTTCATCAATCACACCTTCAGTAATTGTTAGAGGATGCCAAATCAGACTGTATAGTACAGCTGGCAATCCTCCAGTACAAAAGACAACTTGGCGTCGACGCTCCATTGTCCTTCGAGACAAATGAATTCCAACAATGCTTGAAAAACAGTCGTAATTAGGTGAAATAACGCCCGTAACTTAGGATCCCCGCAGAAGAATGTCCACTTATTAGATATGTCACATGGTACTGAAACTCAGAGGTATCAATTCTTCTCGAATAGCTGATCGTAAGAAAATATAATGCACCTCTAACAGAGAGAAATAACCAAGAAAATTTGCCAACAACAACTCAAGGACGTCGACTGAAAATACCACTACAAATTTTACCACTTTAACATCGGCTAAAATATCACTAGAAATTTCACATATTTCACAGCGTTCAATGGCCCCGTTATCCCATAATATAGTTTTGCGTAATTTAGCGTTCGGTACGGAACGGTTAGCTATGTAGTAAATTCTTATCAGATTGGTTCTTGACTATAATAAAAGTTCTGCTCAGATGTTTTACGTATGTTTATGTTAAACTTGTTCAAAGTGCATTAGTTCTGAAACTAAGCTTTACCATCTTAAAGTTAGTTTTCTTGAATTATTTTCAAATCACTTTGATTTCATACCTCATTAACCATACTTTATTAATAGTATACAGTAAACACTTTAGATATAAATTAAGAAATACTAGTAAAAATTAATCAGGCGGATTGACAACCGCATCACTTTCCATGTTTGGAAATAAAAGATGATGCACTTTTAAGAGTACTTTGCGATTGTGATTTTTGCGGATTTGTCCCACAAAAGCAGTACAAAATACAAGTTATACGGTAACTGATCCTGTGGTCAAGGAAACCTGTAGACTTACTTTGTGATCTGCAATAGAGAATGGAAAAAAATTTTAAACTTAAAAATTGCATTGAGATCGAGGAAAAACAAATAGTTTAATCATATATCATAAATGCGTTTAAAGAAATAGTCCACAAGAAGAGTTTTTCCCTAAATGGTTGACACTTTGACACTTAATTAATCTGTATTGTCATCACAAAGGTCGACAAGTCGACAGTTGACTCCTAATTAATGAAAAAAAAAACTTTGTGTGAAGTTTGCTTACATAAGTCCGATTCCCCTTTTAAGTTTTTCCAATAGCATGAAAGAAAGAAATCTTTACTTTTTTAATGATAATTCATGTTAATTTAAGAACTGAATATGAAACTGATATCAAAGAAACATACGTATTGCTTTTTCCTTTCTGCAAAACTGCACTTCCCGATGCAAAGGACTTATTCCCTATTCTCTGTAATAATCAATAAGATGTGTCAATTTGACATGAATGAACCAGCCAACATTCAAAATATGAATATTTGAATTTCCAAGGAAGCATGCAGTGAAAATAAGAATGGGTGAAATGTTACAAAATGGAATTTAAGGGCTGTGTTCATGTTCTTAGTGGTTACATAAGTTTACGTTGAGTTTGAAGATGTGCTAGCTTAGCCGCTACGCAGGATAATATGCATTAATCCGTACAGTACCATCAATAAACCTAGGAGCAAGCCCAGTTGATAGGCTAGATTCACTGCTTTGTTATCTAAAATCAGTTGTTGACATCATGAAATACTTTAGCTGTGTAAAATTGGTCTTGCGATATTGTTCATTTGGTAACCTTGTACACATTAAAAGAAAGGATCATTTGATAATCCTTTATTACGGTGCTACCATTAATCAGTATAATCCATTGTTGGATTCTCTTTGAAACAGAGACCCGTACCTCTTTATGTCCAGGCTATCGAATGATTTATGATATTTCAAGACATCAGACTCTGCGTTTTTAATCACAATTTTTATGGTTCCATATTACTTTGTGCAAATTGATGGAAAAAAAATTACAATAATTTGATTCATTATCGAGCATTTATTAATACATTTGTATCTACAGGGTAAAAATTAAGTACTTTGAAATTTTGACAAAAGGGATACTCAGTAACTCCGGTGAAAGAAGATCAAAATATATGTAAGTGAAACTTGATCTGTGAGTTATATTTTTATACAGATACACACTAAAAAGCGCTTTATAATCAACAAGCACATCAGAAAAAAAATTGAAACAAACAGTGAATAATGAGAAATTTTCAAATTCTTAGGGCCAGTTCTTGGTGAGAATGTGTCCATCACCATTAAACTAGAATTTGATCTGTAAGTCACCAATATTAGTGTACAGACTACAATTAGATAAGCTGATCATCCACTGATCTAGGCTGAGATTCAGCTTGGATGGATATTTTGGACTGATGCCTTCACCATATCTCGTCGCAGTCCTTATTCACAGTTCACGGAAATTCACACTCGACTTCCGCCGGCTGTAGCTATTATCCTGCGCCTAACGACACTGACATTTGCTTCAAATAAGTGAATGTTTATCTGTATATATGAATTATATGTTATATGGGTATATATGTTAATTTAGTGCCTGTAACCTCACCTCAACAAAATGGAGATGAACTTATGCATCGGCGTTGGTGTCCCAGTTTTAGTGTAAAGAGCTAGTCCATTCACAAGTAACAAAAAGCCCTACCTTGACCAAACTTGCATGGATACACACTATCAAATTTGCTTCGGGTGCTGGATCTGATCTAAACTCTCTGAACGAGTGATCAGATTAAAGTTTATGAAGCAGGTCCATTCACATTAAGAATAGGCTCAATTGTGACCAAACTTGCATGGATGATGCATCTAGGGATGCATTCTACCATACATACTTTAGATGCTAAATCGAATATAATATATTTTTTGGATAAGTGACAAGGTTAAAGGTCCATTCCCAAGTACCTATAAGTCTTAGTGACCTAACTTGCAATGATGATGCACCTAGCGATGCATCCTACAATGTTTACTAAAGATGCTGTATCTGACATACATTTTTGAGATGATTCAACACGTAGTTATTGGACCAGATCTATAAGCCCTTTGCTGTCCAAACTTGCATGGGTGATGCATCAAAGGATGTTAAAAACCAAGCTAGATGTGACCTACATTTCCTGACCAGATGAGTGATCAAATTAAAGTTTTTGGAGCAGGATCATTCCAAAGTAAATATACAGCCTTTTTGGACTAAACTTGCATGGGTGATTTATTTAGAGATGTATATTTACTAGACATGTTAAGAGGGAGGACTTGACCTATGTGGATTATCTATCCTACATTTTTCAGGTAATTGAAACAAAGATTATTAGCAGGTCCATTCCAAAGAAACTATAATTCCTACCAAGACAAAACTTGCATGGATGTGCATCTAGGGATGCTCATTACCAGAGCATTCACGTGATTTAAGACTTTGCTTTCCTTTATAGATTACATTCGTTGAGGGGAGCTTTTAAATCTCTGATAACCTTTATTTTTAATTTAGGGTTTCCTTTTTTATGCAGGAAGCAATAGAATATTAATAGTAAAAGAGATCGACATTAACCTTCAAATCACTTATTTGAAGCGAACAGCAGTTTAACCTAGGTGCACAACAAATATATATTATTGTAACAGTAACTTGATCCGAAGAGCCGTATCATGTCGAGTTGACAGGCGTCGACCATCAGATCAAACGAAGCGTCAAGTTTGATCTAATGATCTGTGTCTGTCAACGTGATACGGCTCTTCGGATCAAGTTACTGTTACAGTGATAAATCTATAATATATACCCCTGTAAAATTCGTAAAATATAATAAAAAAAATTTTGGGATCAATTATAGAACTTTCATCCATTTAACAAAACATATCTCATGGAACTTTTTAATACGCAAGAAAAAAACGTCATACATACTGTGTACTACGTCATCAGTTTCAAGAGGTGTGATATGAATTCAGAACACTAAAGTGTAGTAATCCGGAAAGTCGGATTACACTGTATTGTGATTGCGTGAAATCAACAGTAAAATTGTCGGTACATAGTTGGGTACCTATACTAATAGGTAAAACTAACTGAAATTGAGAGTGAATTTCCATGCACAAGTGTCCAGACATGAATATTGTCCCAATATTGGTGAAAGCTAGGATTAACAGCCAAGAAAAATCAACTACATTCACAGCAAAAAAGAGAGAATAAGAAATTTACAAGGTCTGAGAGAAATAACTTTAATGAAAAAGCGTCATTCAACATGAAACACAAACTTGTCCTGTATATGAAAGAGACGTACCAAAACTCAGCTTATTATCTACAAGCACAAAAAAGTCTGAAAATCTAACTATGAGGGAATGACAGAATGATTGAATGATGGAATGACAGATGGAAAGATGTCATACTTTATCCCAAAACCATTTCATGGCCAAGGGCTATGGAAAAAAAATCAACAAAAAAAATCTAATTTTAGTAACAATGGCAAGACTGTTTTTACTAATTTTACTATTTTAAATATCATAGCAACAACATCTATCAAAATCAAATACTGATGAAGTTAACTAAATGCAATCTTTTTTTATATTAATTTATCAAGTTCTTTTGGACCAAAGCTGTAGAATAAGTAACATTTTGTTCACAGATGTGGCGGTCAGACGGGTTCGATCGCCGGTGGCCAGAAAACACCTGACTGGAGATTCAGGGGGCCCGGGTTCGAATCCTGGTCTGGTCCGTCGCATTTTTCTCCTCTTCTGTTACATTTG